CTTTCTCTAGTTGCAGCTAACGGGGGCTACTCTTTGTTGCGATGCGCGTACTTCTCACTGCGATGGCTTCTCTTGTTGCAGAGCACGGGCTCTAGGTGCACGGGCTTCAGTAGTTGCAGCACGTGGGCTCAGTGGTTGTGGCTCACGGGCTCTAGAGCACAGGCTCAGTAGTTGTGGCGCACAGGCTTAGTTGCTCCATGGCATGTGGGATCTTCCTGGACCAGGGCTCAAATGGTAGAGCTTTATTCTGAAGGCAGTGGGAATGCAAAGTTCAGCAGAGGAGTATAACATGCTTGGAGTAATATCAGTAGCTGCAGTGTAGAGAAGGGATCAGGGAGAGGTAAGAATGGATTTGGTGAGAACAACTAGGAGGCTACTGCAGTTCAGGTAAGATAAGATGGTAGTATGGTTGAGAGTGCTGGCAGTAGAATTATAGAGGTCTTCAGGAATATTTAGGAAATGGAATCAAAGGACTTTGGTTCATTGGTTGTGTGGAGGGTGAGGTTAAGGGTTACATATAAGCATAACTCCCACGTTTTTCTCATGTGAGTGGTTTGTGGTGCAGTCCTTTTATTGAGATACAGGGCGCACTGAAGGAAGAGCAGGTTTGGAGATTGAGGGGAAGAGCTTACGTTCAGTTTTGAGTTAAGTTTGGACAGGTTGAGTGTGAAGTGCCTGTGAGACATCCTGGTAGAACTGTTGAGTAGGTAACTGGCTGTGGTTCTGGGCTTCAGGAAGGGCTTATTGGCATATAGTTGGATCTTACTGGCATACGTGTGGTAGTTGAAGTTGGGTAGACAGGGAGTGACTTACAAAGGGGGTGAGAAGGAGGAACCAGAGGGATATGAGGAAAATCAGGAGAAGTGGTGCTGGGACTTCCCTGGTGGTCCAGTGGGTAAGACTCCTCACTCCCAATGCAGAGGGCCCGGGTTTAATCCCTGTTCGGGGCACTAGATCCCGCATGCAGGCCGCAACTAAGAGTTCGCATGCCGCAACGAAGATCCTGCATGCCACAACTAAGGCCCGGTGTGGCCAAAATAAATAAATAAATAAATACTTTAAAAAAAAAAAGAGTAGTTGTGCCTTGGGGACTTCCCTGGCGGTCCAGTGGTTAAGACTCCACGCTTCCAAGCAGGGGCATGGGTTCAATTCCTGGTTGGGGAACTAAGATCCCACATGCCATGTGGTGGGGCCAAAAGATTTCAAAAAAAAAAAAAAGGATAAACAGTGTTTATCAGGCACTGTGCTAACCATCAGTGTATTTTTACTCATTTAATGCTTGTAACTCTATGAAGTAGGTGCTTTTATTATCTCTATTTTATAGATCAGGAAAATGATACAAGAAGGGACTGTATAATTTGCTCAAGACCACTGGGTAGTAACTGGAGAAGTTGGTTTTCGAACCCAGGTTTGTATGGCTCCAGTTTGCATTCTTTTTTTTTTTTATAAATTTGTTTATTTAGTTTGGGGTTTTTTTTGGCTGCGTTGGATCTTCATTGCTGTGTGTGGGCTTTCTCTAGTTGCAGCGAGCGGGGGATACTCTTCGTTGCAGTGTGCGGACTTCTCATTGCGGTGGCTTCTCTTGTTGTAGAGTACGGGCTCTAGGCACGCGGGCTTCAGTAGTTGTGGCACGTGGGCTCCGTAGTTGTGACTCACGGACTCTACAGCGCAGGCTCATAGTTGTGGCTCACGGGCTTAGTTGCCCTATGGCATGTGGGATCTTCCCGGACCAGGGCTTGAACCCATGTCCCCTGCATTGGCAGGCGGATTCTTAACCGCTGCGCCACCAGGGAAGTCCCCAGTTTATATTCTTTTTTTTTTTTTCCGCGGTACGCGGGCCTCTCACTGTTGTGGCCTCTCCCGTTGCGGAGCAACAGGCTCCGGACGCACAGGCTCAACGTCCATGGCTCACGGGCCTAGCCGCTCCATGGCATGTGGGATCTTCCTGGACCAGGGCACGAACCCGTATCCTCTGCATCGGCAGGCGGACTCTCAACCACTGCGCCACCAGGGAAGGAAGCCCTCCAGTTTATATTCTTAAACACCACTTTACACTAATAGTGTTTCAAAGAGGAGAGAGTGGTCAGCTGAGGTGGATGCTGCTTACAGGCTGAGTATACTGAAGACTTGAGATTTCCATTGGATTTGGCAACATAGAGGTTATTGGTGACTTTAAACAGGAGTTTTGGTGGCATTTGGGGGCAAAAGACGTTCTTCAAAATAAATGTGAGATTAAACAGAGACAGTGAATGAAGAGAAGTTTAGAGAAGTTTGGCTGTGAACAGAGAAGTGGAGCAAGTCGTTAGCTACAAGTGTAAGATCCAGAGAATGTTCTCTTCAATGTTTATTTGTTTGCTGTGTTTTGTTTTAAGATAGAAGAGACCACTGCATTTTTTTGTTAATGGCGTTATCAACTATTACTCCTTCTTCTGTTACTCTCCATATTTAATTAGTTGCTAAGCCCTGCTGGATTTCTGATACTCATCTCTTTGTAGTTCCTACTGCCACTTCTAGTTCTTACTCTTAGCCTGGACTATTGTAGTAGCCTTTTCTTAGATTTTTTAATTTTTATTTATTATTAATTTTTTTTAGTGTCAATTCTTTTTTTTTTTTTAAAGTTTATTAATTTATTTTGGCTGCGTTGGGTCTTCATTGCTGCGTGTGGGTTTTCTCTAGTTGTGGCGAGCAGGGGCTACTCTTCGTTGTGGTGTGCGGGCTTCTCATTGCGGTGCGTGGGCTTCTCACTGCGGTGGCTTCTCTTGTTGCGGAGCATGAGCTCTAGGCACACGGGCTTCAGTAGTTGTGGCACACAGGCTCAGTATTTGCAGCTCGCAGGCTCTAGAGCTCAGGCTCAGTAGTTGTGGCGCATGGACTTAGTTACCCCGCAGCATGTGGGATCTTCCCAGACCAGGGCTCGAACCCGTGTCCCCTGCATTGGCAGGCAGATTCTTAACCACTGCGCCACCAGGGAAGTCCCTCCATTATTTCTTATATTGTGCTCCTAAGGTTCTGATAATGTTATTCCTATCCTCTGTGACATTTCCATTCTGTAAAGTCACTGGTGGCATGGGACAGACACTGGACCTTGGTTCATGAAACTTGGCTTTGAATTTCAGCTTATAAACTGTGTAAACTTGAGCAAGTTATTTAACCTTGATGAACTTTCATTCTTCATGTGTGGAATAGTAAAAATAAAACTTACATTTTGGAAATAGCTTATTAGTGCTTGGTTAACTTTAAAGGTTTGCCACTACAGGCGCGAACTCCTTAGCCTGGTATTCAGGCTTTCCTGCACACTTGTGATATCCTGTCCCTACCCTAGGGTTTATCCTCTAAAACCCATTTGCAGTATTGTTTTCTTAATCCTATATGTTGAAGGAAACCTCTTTTCTGAACACTCATAGTTTTTTCTCGCTATCTCTTGTTATATCTAACTGGATACAAGATAGAAAGCTTGATTATGTCTAGATTATATGCTCCTTGAGGACAGAGCATGGCACACAGATAGCACAGAACTATTTACATCACTGAGACTGTAACATTACGAGTTGGTTAACTTCGTCATGAGCACATGGTAGAATGTAATCAAATTAATTTACTGCATTCTCTTGTTAAGTGCTGACAGTACTGCTATAATTATCAGGAGGGTGGTGGTCAGACAAAAGAGAAGGGAGCCAAGGAACAAGAATTTGCCACGTCTGGTTGCCCCACTTGTTATGGTCAGTAGAGAAAGGTGGAACAGACTGCTCATGTTCTTGAGACCATCCAGTTACCTTATTTCTTATACCATGCTCACCAGGCTACTTTCATAATTAGTTTGGTTCCCCTGTTCCTTGGGAAATGGGTTCCCTGGATAATGGGCATGAGTATTCACAGTGCTAGGCATTGTGAAGAAGTTAACTGACAATCCTTTTATCTTGCAGAGTTGAGTACTAGCCTACCAAGATCTCTCCTCTGGGGCTTCCCTGGTGGCGCAGTGGTTGAGAGTCCGCCTGCCGATGCAGGGGACACGGGTTCGTGCCCCAGTCCAGCAGGATACCACATGCCGTGGAGCGGCTGGGCCCGTGAGCCATGGCCGCTGAGCCTGCACGTCCGGAGCCTGTTGCTCCGCAACGGGAGAGGCCACAACAGTGAGAGGCCCGCGTACTACAAAAAAAAAAAAAAAAAAGTCTCTCCTCTGAACCTTAAAGGAGACAAGAATGTCCACTTAACAGTAGTAGTGTCTACACTCTTCTTATGTACAAAGGTTTGAACGGTGTGTAGAATGCTAAGGTACCATCATACCTTAGCTCAGACCCTTTTCTCCGGGGAGAATTTCTTTGACTAGGTCAGATCTTCCAGTTATTCTCATAGTATAGAATACCTCTTACGTGTAGCACTTCTCAAAATTGCCACTTTGCTTGGGTTATTATTTGATTGTCTGTTTCCCTTTTAGAATATAAGCATCATTAAAGGCTGCTACAGTGCCTTTTCTCACCATTTTATCCCCGTGCTTGGTACAGGTCCTGGTCCACAGTAGGTTCTTGATGGATTTTTTTTCTGTGAATGTGCATATCTAAAATGCTTTCCCTCCCACCCCATTCTGTCTTCTTGGGTAAGCTCTTAGTAAGCTCTTAGTTGTCCTCTAAGACCCCCAGATGTTGCTCTTCTCTTGAGTTCTCCTCAGTTACATTCCCAAGACACTTCTTATGCATTTTTGCTCTGGGACTAGTCACTTTGTGTTGTAATTCTTTGACCACGAGTCTATTTTCACCCAGCTATAGTAGACTCTTTTCCAGTTTTATTGAGAAATAATTGACATACATCACTGTATAAGTTTAAGGCGTACAGCATGATGGTGTGATTTACATATATTGTGAAATGATTACCGCAATAGGTTCAGCTAATATCCATCTTCTCATACAGATACAATAAAAAGAAGAGAAGGGGACTTCCCTGGCGGTCCAGTGGTTCAGCCTCTGTGCTTCCAATGCAGGGGGCACGGGTTCAGTCCCTGGTTAGGGAACTAAGATCCCACATGCTGTGTGGTGTGGCAAAAAAAAAAAAAGAGAAGAAAGGAAAAAAAATTTTTTCTCCTTGTGATGAGAACTCTTAGGAATTTCTCTTCCAACAACTTTTCTATATATCATACAGCATTGTTAGCTGTAGACATCATGTTGCACATTACATCCCTAGTACTTTTTTTTTGGTAACATCCCTAGCACTTATTTATCTTCTAACTGTAAGTTTGTACCTTTTGACCACCATCCTCCAGTTTCCACTCCCCCCACACCTCATCTCTGGTAAGCACTAGAGTAGACTTCTTTAAGGCAAGAACCATGTTGTTTTCAAGTGCTCAAGTGCATTTTATTGTGCTTAGCTTTATTGTGCTTAGCAAATATTGTAGGTTTTACAAATTGAAGGTTTGTGGCAACCCTGCATTGTCAGATGATGGTTAGCATTTTTTAGCAATAAAGTATTTTTTAATTAAGGTATATATATATGTTTTTAGACAATACTTTTGCACACTTAATAGATTATAGTGTAGTATAAACATAACTTTCATATATCTCCGAGGTATGCTTGTATGTCTATTGAAATGAACAGAAATGTGTTGTGTACTTTCTTGAAAGTACATAGACCATCATATATAACATAATAACCCTAACAATTAAAAAAACCTTAGCTTGGTAATCAGGAAGCCTGTATTAGTTTTCTCAGCTTTATTTTATTTACCTACAAGGTAAATAAATAAAGGTAAATAAATAAATAAATAATTTACCTACAAGGTCCTTCTCAGTTCTAATAGTTTAAACCAGGTGTTTTCAAAGTGTGACCCAGACCACGTCATCTGGGAACTTGTTAGAAATGCAGATTCCCAGGTCCTACCCCAAACTTACTGAATCAGAAACTCTGGGAGCGGGACCTGGACTTGTTTCAATAAGTCCACCAGGTGATTCTGATAGATGGTAAAGAGAACCACTGAAATTATTTTAGCAGTTAGTTTTTCTGTGCATTAAAAAAAAAAAAATAGAGTTAACGACCTTAATTTAAACTTCATAGCTTAAAGTTATTTTTAAAACTTTTCTTTATATGTGTTTCGTACCAGTTGAATTTAAGGACATTTTTCTAAACTAGTTGTAGCTAAATATCAAGGTATCTTTGAATCAGAGGTAGTAGATTCAGAAGTATTTGAAGACTGCTGCTTGCACAAAGTATGAGTGTGTGTATGTGCTTATATTTATATCTGTATATATGCATGTAGCATACATACATGTTTTTCTCTCTATCACTGGAAAATTCTCCATGATGAGTGGTTAAAGGAAGGGAAGGATACAGTACAGGCCTCTATTAGGCAGACTTGAATGAGTGGTATGGCAGAATAAGAAGTATTAAAAAGGAGAAGTTGCTTTTTTACAGTAGCAGATACACATATAGTTGGCCCTCTGTGTTCCTGTATCCTGCATCTATGGATTCTACCAACCATGGATTGAAACTATTCAGGGGAAAAATTCCAGAAAGTTTCAAAGAGCAAAACTTGAATTTGCTGCGGTGGCAACTACTTACGTAGCACTTACATTGTATTTACAATCATTTATATAGTATTGTATTAGGTATTATAAGTAATCTAGAGATGGTTTAAAGCATATGGGAGGATGTGCATAGGTTATATGCAAATGCCATACCATTTTATGTAAGGGGCTTGAGCATTTGTGGATTTTGGTATCCTGTGGTGGGGGGTGGGGGTTAAGGGGAGTTCCTGGAACAAATCCCATGTGGATGCTGAGGGACAACTATATTTACCTCCTATACCAAGGAGCTCTCTTAGCAACAGATTTTACCTCTGTGCTACCTGCAGCGGGTTGTTGTTGTGGACTGAAAGGTACTGATTATTGTTGATGTTCACTTACTTCCTATAGAGGGAGTTGCACACTTTACTATTGGAAACCATAATAATGGCATATCTCAGATGCATATTTTGTGTTTGGCACTATGCTAAGTGCTTTTATATGTGGCCCACTTTCACCACTGTTGTTTTGGCTTAATACCTTGAGTTTAAATTTACTCTCTGTTAAATAAAAGGGAACCTTTTGGAAATAGAGTTCCTAAAAAGAACTCCTTTTTTTTTTAATAGATTTATTTATTTTTATTTATTTATTTTTGGCTGTGTTGGGTTTTCGTTGCTGCGCGCGGGCTTTCTTTAGTTGCGGTGAGCGGGGGCTACTCTTCATTGCGGTGCGTGGGCTTCTCATTGTGGTGGCGTCTCTTCTTGCGGAGCACGGAATCTAGGCGCGCGGGCTTCAGTAGTTGTGGCACACGGGCTCAGCAGTTGTGGTGCACGGGCTTAGTTGCTCTGCGGCCTGTGGGATCTTCCCGGACCAGGGCTCAAACCCATGTCCAGTGCGTTGGCAGGCGGATTCTTAACCACTGTGCCACCAGGGAAGCCCAAGAACTCCTTTTAAGATACCTACTTGAACAGTTTCAGGATTTAGTAAACAGTTTCATGTTTGCTTCATTTACCTGTTGTACCTTTTGTGTGTGTGTGTGATTCATTATTTTTATAGATTATACTCCATATAAAGTTATTACAGAACAGTAGCTATATTTCCCTGTGCTTTACAATATATCCTTGTTGCTTATTTATTTTATACATAGTAGCTTGTACCTTTAGTTATTACCCATCTCATACTTTCTAAATTGAAGAAGCCTGTTTTCTTTCATCTTTCCTTACATGGAAGTTGCTTCTTCTTTTTTCTTTTTTTTCTTTAATTACTGTACTGGCCTTTCTCCAAGTCTTTTCTACCTATTAACTATTTCCTAGTGTGGTTACCAAAACTATAAGAATTGTCATAGGTTCAGAAGTTTTGTTGTTTTTGGTTTTTTGCTCATTTATTTATTTATTCAGCAAACATTGTTGGGTGTACTGTTGATGTTTATTGCGTGTGCTGGGTATACAGAAATGAATATCTCTACCCCATCTTCATAGTCTGATAAGAGCCATATAAACAAATAATTACGCTGTACTATGATAAATGAAATTTAGGAAGTATAAAGTACAAGAGGCAAGAGGAAGGAGGGTATGACTGAGGAAAGAAAGTCTTCAAAGAGGAGGTAAACTATTTACTAAGCTCGGTATTGTAACATTAAGGGTTGTCCAAGAGGCCAGAGGGTGAGGGGGGAAATTCCAAGCAGAGGAACCAGCATGTCCAGAGGCAAAGAAATATGAAACAGCACTACAAGCTCAAAACAGCATTGCCAGTAGTTCAGTGTTACTAGCGCATACAAATGGGAGAGGATCTGAGATCTGAAGAGCCTGAGTCCTGTTAAGTTGTTTGTACCTTATGCAATAGGTAGTGAGGAGACATTATCGGAACTAGAAACATGGGGATACTTGATGGTATCTGTTTTAGAAAGATCGCCCTGGAAAGGTGTTGTGGTGGATAGACTAGTGAGGGAAGAATTGCAGCGGTAAGGAAATCAGATAAGAATTTACGATAATATTTTAGAAAGAAATGATAACCAAACCTTGGTACCAAGAATGGAGATGGAGAAGAGACTGAGTCGAGGTACTTGAGGACAGAGTTGATGGGACTTGGTGATCCTGTTAGATGCCCTTGGAGAGGAAGATGACTCCTGAGTTCTTGGCTTGTATTCCCAGTTGATGGGTGGTGTCACTCACTGAGAGAGAATACCATGGTTCTATGCAAAGGCAAGAATGTAATTTTGATATATTTATATTGATCTTTATGTCTACATTAGCATATTTATTTAATTTATTTATTTAAAAATTTTTTTTCTGCGTTGGGTCTTTGTTGCTGCACGTGGGCTTTCTCTAGTTGCGGCGAGCAGGAGGGGCTACGCGGGGGCTAATCTTTGTTGCAGTGTGCAGGCTTTTCCTTGTGGTGGCTTCTTTCTTTGTTGCAGAGCATGGGCTCTAGGCATGTGGGCTTCAGTAGTTGTGGCACGTGGGCTCAGTAGTTGTGGCTTGCGGGCTCTAGAGCGCAGGCTCAGTAGTTGTGGCTCACGGGCTTAGCTGCTCCGCGGCATGTGGGATTGTCCCAGACCAGAGCTTAAACCCATGTCCCCTGCATTGGCAGGCGGCTTCTTAACCACTGCACCACCAGGGAAGCCCTATATTAGCGTATTTAAATCACCAATTATTTATTGGGTCTGCTCTATGAGAACCTTACTAGAGATTCTGGGCTAATGTCATGAGGTATCAACATAGATTTGGATGACTTTTTATTAGGTAAAACTAGTTCAGAAACCATTGTATTTTTAAATAATTAATTTTTTATTTACTTATTTATTTTGGCTGTGCTGGGTCTTAGCTGCAACGCTCAGGATCTTTAGTTGTGGCATGTAGACTATTAGTTGCGGCATGCCTGCAGGATCTAGTTCCCTGACCAGGGATCAAACCCGGGCCCCCTGCACTGGGAGCACAGAGTCTTACCCATTGGACCACCAGGGAAGTCCCAGAAACTATTGATTACTACATGGATTAATTATTTTTTCTCTAGGCCTTTTACTTTAAACTTGCCCAAATCAAAGGCTAATAGTATAATACTGATTCATGTGGCTTTTTAAGCCCTTTCTCAGTTCATTTCCCTCTGTTTGGAATATTATTCCATGTTGTCTGCTATATCATTTATGAAAATATTAGGAACTGTCCCAAACATTATCTTGTGGAAAACACAAACATCTGGAAACATCCGTTTACTTGTTACTTTTTTTTTTTTTTTTTTTGCGGTACGCAGGCCTCTCACTGTTGTGGCCTCTCCCGTTGCGGAGCACAGGCTCCGGGCGCGCAGGCTCAGCGGCCATGGCTCACGGGCCCAGCCGCTCCACGGCATGTGGGATCTTCCTGGACTGGGGCACGAACCCGTGTCCCCTGCATCGGCAGGCGGACTCTCAACCACTGTGCCACCAGGGAAGCCCCTGTTACTTCTTTTTAAGTTTTTTTACCAGTTCTTCATATATGATATAAAATTCTTCCAGATTCTGTTTTTAAAATTCTATAAACTTTGTTTGTTAAGAATTTTTATAATTCTAAATAAATTATATTTCTCTTGAGTTTCTCCCTTCATGGAATCCATGTGGCCATTCTAACAGCACATTTGGGAAAGCCCCTGTTGATACTTTGCCATCCTAAGTCAGGTTGGAACTGTGAGGAACTCTCAGTTACCAGCCATGAGCCAATGAACTCTACTTTCACTGGGTAAAAGTAGAATGGGAGTTTATAGTGCCATGGTCAAGTGTCAAGTGGGTGGTGGTGGTAGTTTTAGATCTGGGAATACATCACATCTCTAGGCCTTTCGCCTTTCCTGTGTGAGAACAGGCTTCTCTCTCATTTTTTATGGATTGAGAGTTTTCTAATCACCTGGATACAGCTCCTTAATTTGATGACTTTATTGGTGGGTTTTTAAGACTCATTTGAAAACCGAAAACTATTGGCTAAAATTTCTCAATCTTGTTCTATGGTAATAATCATTTGAATGACTTATGTATGCACCCATATTAATCAAATTCACTGGCTTCTGCTAAAGCTCTCATGGGAATAGAATGGCAAGCTGACACATGTCCATTTGAATCAAAACCTGTCTGTTCATTTCACAGGTGCCTGATAGGTTCATTACCACAGGACTTTAAACTAGGCACACTGGCTTACGTGTGAAATAGGCTCTATTCGGTTTCTGAAAAGGAGAAGTTCCTTTGGGTATAATGCTTCTTTATATGCTATTAAATCCTAAAAATAGTCTATTGGTTAGTTGTACTATGGGATTAATATGACTCCTATTGAAATTGTAATTAAATACAGGAATAATACAAAGGAATGGAGAAAAATTCAAATAGGATTTTCCCATGGGTAAAATTTTGTTTACCTTTTCCCATACTGATCAGTCTTTTGGAATGTAATACTGATGACTCTTCCACAATTTATTAGTGTTTTTGCTTTCTTCCCTGAACTTTGATAGAATTGATATTTTGGGTGAGTGAATGAGGAAGAAGTTTA